TATTGTTAAACCAATTTAAAAAAATTATTTGGAAATAATCTTAAAAAGAAGAAAAAACTATGAAGTAATACACTAATGATTATTTCCAAAATGATGGTAGTGTAAACATCTTTCAAAAATGAAAGAAAAATCAAAAAATCTTATGAGGAAAAAAACATTTTTTAAAAAAAATGGCGGGAAAATGTATTGAATTTTGTTCCGGTTTTCTGATTTCCGGATAACGGGTTCTGTACTGTACAAGTTTTAACTTAAATATTTAATGAGATGAATGATTCACTACTTCAGTAATGAAGAATCGAACTTTATGGAGGCATTTATATTTTTCACCTCATTATAGATATATAATAAGAAAATTGACTAGAATCTAAAATAGCTATCAGCTATACCCCCCCACCTCCAATCGTCCGATAAAATATCGTTCTGTCCATTTTATTGATTTTCTGACAATTCTATGTCTATCACGAGAAGGCAGTTTTTGAAATGCACTTTTCTGATAGATAAATTTGTCATCTAGCTTCAAAAAATTAACATCCTTGCTGAGATAAGGGTTATATTTAGTTAAATTTTTGCAATTACTGTAACTCAATTAAGCCAATCAGAAGCCCATATTTTTGTATTGTAAACATATCGCCTCTTGCGATATGTAAAAATGCAAGATTTTCATTGGCCAAATTTGTCCATCGTAATTGCAAAAATATAGCTGAATTCCACCCTAAAAAACCATGAATTTATGAAATATAGAATTTTAATGTTCATATGATAGATTAATAAAGAAGCTAATATAGACGAATTTTACACAGCACTGATATTTCGTTTAAAAAAAGTTCGATGAAGAAGGAAACATAAAATAAACTTTATATTCAATTTGGAGGCCCGGGGAAAACTGCCCCTGCTTTATATAGTCAGGTTCTGACTGTAAATGAAATTGTTCTTACTTCATTCACACAAACTTAAATAATAGAATCTTAAAAATGCATAAATTTTAATTTTGTGAAGTTTAAATCAAGACAGAGTATGTTTTAACACATCTAAAATTAATTCAGTATTAATTTAGTTTAAATCTTACAAAAGAGTTATAATAAGGAATACCATTCATCATATGGGTAGTTTGCTGTAGTACCATTTATAACAAGAGTTGAGGAACCTCCTCCATCTAAATTTATGGCATTTACTACCCCAAACTCTTTCAGAAGTACTTCCATGTTATATAAATTTACCCTAAAAAAAAACAAATATAGAATAATTAATGAACAAATTTGAAATAAAAAAAAATGCGTAACTTAAAGTGAAGCATTTTGAAGTGAAGTCATTTATTCATAGTATGTAATATATTACGTAATATTTACTACAACACAATGTAAATTTTAAATTTAATATGGAAAAGAATGTACAATTTAGTTTAAAACCACGAACCACGTTGTCACGAAATGAAATGCAATTAGTTGACTACTAAAGAAATACTATTGAATAAGCAACAGGAAGCTTTTGGAGCTCATTCTAAATATCTTCAACTTTCGAGAAGTTTATCTTTTAATGGTTGATTTTTGGTGTGAAGTCATTATTTGCTACGAAATAATAATTCTTTTATCAATATTTTAAATATTTCTATCAGAAAATCAAACTGCAATAAAAAGTTAAAATTTTAAAGAATAAAATATCATTCACGATTTTTAAAAATTTAGGGAACATTCCTATTGAGTGTGGTTTGATCCTTCTATTTAAAATCCACCAATTGAATTCTCCATTTTTAAATGTATATTTTATATAAATTTTTATTTTTAATAAAAATGACAAAAAAAAGAAGAAACATTGTCGGTGCAGCATTAGCAAATATTTTGTATTAAAATAAAAAGCTATTTTTTTCAAATATTTGAATCATTATTTATAACAAAAAGAGAAGTAAGGAATATCTCCACTTTTCTCTTAAGATGAAAACCGATAAAATGTTTCCGTCTGTTTTAGAGCAGCAGCATCGGAACATCTTGGAGTTAGCTCCAAAAGCTCTGTGTCATGGAACCGACCCATCAGCAAATTCATATATGTATACAACAAATAAAAATATGTCGTGTCATATATAACTTACCCATCTACGTTGGATTTCCCATCAATTTGAAGAAATACAACATTTCCATCTTTATCGTGCCCAACAGCTGTTCTAGCAGAAAATATGCTAACAAAATTTTCCATAGGACCTTAAAATTTAAAAAAATAATGAATATAAAAAATATTATACATTATATCACTTTAATACTTTTAAAATGCATGGCTGTAAGTAGTAGGTGATAAGTAACAGCCAGAATCGCTATTTGTATGAAATATAGAAAAAGGATGTGTAAAAAGTAAGCAAATGTACACCAAATAAAACTATACTTTTGAAGCGAAAATGCTTGTGAGCAATGCCATCTTACACTGGTTTTAAATCCTCTCTTATAAAACTGTCAATGAGTAACTATAAATTTACTTTATATTTATATTAAAATAAGATGGAAGCAATGAGTATAATAAAACAATAAAGTACCACAATCACAAAACCAGCTTTAGTATATATTTAACATGTAAAATAGTCAAGTAAAATTAAAAAGATCTTAAAACTAAATCCAAAAAGAAATATATTTTAGTTGCAGACTAGCCTTTCTAACAGATGAGAACTTTAAATAATCTCTTTCACATAATAAACTAAACACTTCGCGTATATGTTATTGTAAATTAAATAGAAACGCTACCTTTATTTATAAAATGAATCTATACTATGCAGTAAAATGCTTTTGAAGCCGAATTCCCATTAAATTCAATAAATATTTTGAGATCTTAATACATCGTCATCCGGTCTTATGATTACATCTTACAGCGTCAATTCTAACAAAGAAGTCTGGGTATTGTAGATCACATGACATGAAAGAAATATTTATATGCTACATGTTAAAAAAGTGCACACTTGTCTTTTGAAAATTATGTAGTGAATTTGTCTCCAGGAGCTTCTGCTCCATATATATTATTTGCAAATAGATTTTCTTTATTATTTTCCTCAATAAATGATTAGTAAAAATTATTATGGAATCATCATTACAAAAAAAGGAATATTGAATATGACTGCAAAATAAAACCTAGAGGGACATGAACTGAAATTGAACGTTTTCAATAACAATTGAATATTGTTTTAATAATTGAATATACATAAGGCGAGTTTTTCTTTTCAATTAATTTTAAAACTCAGCCTTAATTTGATACATTTATGTAATTTTGTGATTTGTCTCCTATTATCAATCGGTTAATATTATCAAAATCGTTACATCCCAAAGTGATAACATTAAGTTAAGACTACTGTATAAATAAAAGTTTAAGATTTTAAAAATATTTTCATAATTAAACTTATTCTTAAGGCTAGCAATTATTTTTAAATAATTAAATTATAAAATGTTTGGTGTATGTTAATATAAAGTGCATGTTAATTTAAAATGCATTTGTTAATTTATAACATTGATAATTAATGAATTATTTTTAATTCAAAAGGATAAAAAAACAAAACAAATGTAGTTTAAAGTAAGTTTTAGATAGTAAAACAGTAAATATAAATGACTGAAACAGCTTCATAAATAAATTTTGAAGGTAAATATCAAATATGTATAAAACTCAAAACTTAGGCAACCTGTCTCTTCAGTATCTTCACATTCCAAAGATTTGCTTGCATTTACAAATCCGGTTCCATTTCGGAGAATCCAAACTACACCTCCAACAAGTTGTTTGAAAGTTCCAGAATGATACAACTCTTGTGACAGGTATCTAAATTTTTTAACAATATTTTAAGGTTATAAAATTTCAACACCATGAATAAAATTGAAATAAAGAGTAAAAAATTTATTAGTTAACTTTTGTTGTCAAACGTAGAGTTTTAAACAGTATTTTAATAAGTCACTAAAGCAGTTTCTTCAGAGGTTTAAAATACATATATTTAATAATTTAGAATAAATTTTAAGAAAATTATATAAAGATCAAAATGACATACAATAATATATTTTATGAGCATTTAAGTTAGTATTTTTGATATGAATCTGGCCAACAAAAGTAATCAAAGAATGCTAATTTACTGTATTATACGAAAAATGAGCATTAGCTATTATTAAAATAATGATGACAATAATAATGTAGCAAAATAAATAATAAATTTTCTATTCAAAATTTAAATTATGATGAAATTTGTTTCATTATTTTATCATTAAAATTTAGGACTGATTTAATAATATTAATTGAGCACTATTAAACAGTTTTTTTGTGTGGATAAATTCAAGTTTATATGCTTAAAAATTAAGGAAAAATTTCAAAATGTAAATTGAATACTGTCCATAGAGAAAATATAAAATTGAATTTATTAATGTTATTCAAGGGTAAAACATCCCTTAATTTTCATGCAAACTTCCCAAAATAATATAATATTTAAAGGTTAAAATGATTACATTTTAAAACAATGACAGTAAAATGGTGGATAATAAAAGTAAAAAAAAAAAAAAAACATAAAACAAAATTTTTGCATCTCATTTGTGAAACACAAACAATATTATGAATACAGTCCACATACATAACATAATTACATATATAATTACATGCAATATGATCAACACAAATTATTAAAAAATGCTACAATTTAATTTAAAACAGAGTAACAAAAACATTTAATACCTGTAATTTATTTTCTGCAACTTGAACGATGCTTAACTCAAAAACAAAAACACAGCTTTCAACAAAAGCTTTTGAAGCTGTTAATAAAAAATACTCAAAAAATTGCATGTTTTAAGTTAAAAAAATTTTTACCCAGTAAAAATTTGCCCATCATCTGTTAACCCAAAGTGAGCATTCTGGATGCCATTGGAATCGTGAGCCTTACGACCATCACTAACAATATTTCCTGTAAAATTAATAATATTAGAAATTATTTAAAATAAAAATAAGAAAACACAGATGAGATATTTTTTTTTAAAATTCAAAATTGTATTGTAGCAAAATTTAAATTGTAGAGTTGGTTATGCTAATAGCATAATATTTTTTCACCATTGAGTCATTCCTGAGACATGATGGCTCAGGGGATAGAGCGTTCGCTTTCCAATGAGGTGAACCAGGTTCAAATCCCAATCATGGCCAGTTGATAAGAATTCCGCATCCGGCTGACAATGACCACAGTACTGACGTTAAATATCCTCTGTGGAAGATGGCTCATGGGTTAGAATCCCCTTGCTATCAGGTTAACAGTGGGAGGTTTTGTGGTTTTCCTCTCCTTGTAACGTAAATGCGGGTCAGTTCCACCGAAAAAAGTCCCCCATGAAAGCAAATTTCTCCCAACCCTTGATTCAGAAGTTCTCGTGTTCTGGATTAGATTCAAAATTACAAAGTTACGGGGAGCTGGACATTAAAAGTTGTGGAACCGAAAGATTGGCTCGGCTGCTCAATGGCGGAGAGACAAATTAAGTCATTAAAATTTTAGAGGGAAAAAAAGACACGATTTATGATTTCTTTAATTAAACCTAGGTAAGTCTTGATCAACAAATAAAATTTTAATTTGCACCTTACATAAAATTATTAATGCATAACCGAATTAAACAGCATATGAAATTAAGGAAAAAAGTACATAATTTGAGCAAGCAAAAAATAAATAAATAAACAAAACATTTCAGAATTGCCAGCAATCAACAAAGATATTCTGATTGAAGATATTCCATTTATTTTGGTTCTACCACGTGTATCATTCTGCTTTTCAAGGTTACATATTTATGAACCTATAATATTTCATATTGGCAATTTTATTTTGACTTTTTTTTTTCTTTTTCAAAATTGCGGCACGAGAAAGGAAAGTTGAAAATTACAGGCTGCTGTTGCTTGACTTCGTATGCAAGTTGTTGGGCTACCAAAGTGGGAGAGCCTTCCCTTCTGAAGAGAATCAAAATAGTGATGTTGTGTCTTCGGATCGTCCTTATGGATATTTCCTAGATCGTCGCTAATAGTCCATTGTGTAGCGCTAGTGCGACATATATAAACAACTACAGCTGAAAATTGCAGCTAATCTGCTTTGCTTTAACCAGGCTACTAAAACCTTATTCTTATTTCCATTTGATCAATCACATAACTAGCCTATACTCATATATACTGGTTATATAATAAATAATTTTACAAATTAATCATAATAAAAATAATTATACAATAGTTTTTTCTTTCAGTGCATTTATTTTTTAATTTATGAGCAAATATATAAAAATCTAACTTACCTAAGCATTTACCTTCTTTGGTATCAAAATAACCAGCATTAATAGCAACAAAGCACTTGTTTTTCCTTGCAGTTTCTGCTACCGTTTGACGTATATTTAATGCACAACCACCAGGCTGATCTGGCTCCAATACTGACAAAGTTTCCAATGGGTTTGTTATTTTAATAAAATGACCCCTTATTGTCCTGGACCTGTAAGAGCTCTTTAATGTTTTTACAAACCTTTTAACTTTCACAAATGGAACAGTTGTGTCAAGGGATGTTTCAGCAAAATGAAGAATGTGGGGAGCACTCCCATATTTCTGCTCATGACATTCTCGAATGACTCGATGATTTAACTGTGATCCATGTTTTTTCAAATATGGAGTTAGAGATTCATCTCTGAAAAAAAAAGAAAAACACTTTTAGCAAACAATAAGAGTACAGGGTGCATAGCCAAATTATTCAACCAAAAATAAGCACTTTTCAAGCGTTCAAAAAATATTTTCAAGCACTTTAAAAAAATATCATAATTAGGCAAGGTTGGAAAGTTTTTCACAATTAATCAGGGTGTTTAGTCAAATTATTCAACAAAAAATAAGTACCTTTTAAGCACTTTTCAAGCAATCAAAAAATATTTTTAAACACTTTAAAAAAATATCATAATCAGGCAGGGTTGAAAAGTTTTTGACAATTGATGGTTTTACCTGGTTTTAACCATCATGTCAAAAAAAAACCTTTCGGTATTGTTTTAGACAATTGTCAAAAATAATGAAATTTAGAATCATGTAAAAGGAATGGCGTTTTCATACGCTAGGGGCTGACGATACGCCGAAAATGATTGAGGTTAAATCGATTGTGAAAACGTTGAATAGAACAATGTGAACTGTGTCTTTTTGCATAAATCGTAGCGAAAATTAACATAGTAAGGGAAAAATCTCATTTTGAAAAAGGGAAAATTAAGCACTTTTTAAGAACACCCGATGAAAAAAACACCTTTAAGGGCTTTTAAAATACGAAAATAAGCACCTTTAAGTACTTTTCAAAAACACTACGCACCCTGGAGTATAAGTGAAACCTATTGATATTTATTTTCGTCCATAGAACTAGATGTTACTTTAAGAAGTAAATTAATTGGGAAAATTTCGAATAGAACAATTTGAACTGTGTCTTTTTGCATAATTCATAGCGAAAATTAACATGGTAAGGGAAAAATCTCATTTTGAAAAAGGGAAATTAAGAATTTTTTAAAAACACCCAATGAAAATAAGCACCTTTAAGCACTTTTTAAAAACGCTACGCACCCTGGAGTATAAGTGAAACTTATGGATATTTATTTTCGTCTGTAGAACTAGATGTTACTCTAAGAAGTAAATTAATATGTAAAACAAAAGAAAAATTAAATAACAGTATCTATACAATGAAAAGAGAAACAATTCATGCACTAGATGAAATAAATATGGAGTGCATTTAACAATAATTTTAAGACAAATATAGATCAACATTGATTAAGAGGTGTTTAATTAGTTTTTATTCCACAAATTAAAGAAACTTACGAATATTTATTTTCGTCTGTTGAATAAGATACTACTTTGTGAAGCAAAATGATTTGTAAAATAACAGAAAATTGAAAATACAACATTGATTCAACATAAAAAGAAACAATAGTATTAAAATAAAATATAACGTAAGAAATGTTACGTGAAGTTCATTTGTTAAGTTTAAAGTAACATTTAAAACAAGAAAAGCTGTATGAAAATGGCGTTATTAAAGTTGAATATTAATTAACACCCGGTTTATCAGTCACATTTTCCATTTGCTCATCTAGTCCACAAAGTCAACAAATCCGTTTGTAAACATTAGTCTTGCAGGCAGTCACGCTTCCGGTGACGTATGTATTTTGTCATTTCCGTCTGTGTGGTTATCGATGCGCGGAGAACGCAGTTCTCGTGAGGGTATGGTGAAAACGATTACGAGCTGAGTACCGAACGAGAAAGGTTGTGCTTAGCCTGCGATATTCTTAAAAAAATGTGCTTTAAATAGAATTCCTATTGTGGAAGTGCGTGAAAGTTTTCCTTTCCTCTATTAATTTCTTCTGCAAAATTCTATCCATTGATGAAATGGGAATAGAATTTGGAATGTAATCAAAAAGCTGTGAGGAAAATTGAATTTGTTTTGACGGCTACATTTGGATCAATAACGGGACGATTTTCGGGGACCCACTTGTTTATCGAATGCATTTAAATCGCTAATCGTTTTTTTGTGATGAATAACAAATTAGCAAAATGATCGTTTGCTGGAGATTTTCATTAGAAACATTTCTTTTTCATTTCAATACAAGCCAAAGTGTTCAAACTTAGGTTTTATTATGGCAAACAGCAGTGAAATGTCCAGCAGACCTTTATCCGGATTTAAATGGTTGGTCAAAAGATCGGAAAGAAATGGGCATACCTCCGAAAAACTAGCTGCGGATATCTTACCAAAATCAAATGCAACTTTGCCAGGATTTCGGAACAATTTTATTTCCACCGAAAAACGGTGCGTTATCGTCCGGAACGACATCAGGACTGTACCCTTTGAGTCCGGAGAATCTTCATCCTCATCTTCCGCATCTTCATCTTATTCCAGGCAAAGTTCTGCGGACTCCTATTCTTCGGCAAATTCCACTGATGGGATGACGTGCTCGGATATATTGGGACTTTTTTCTATATCTGGTAGGTCGTCCACGCCGATCGGGCCGTCGGGACCTAAATTTAAATTAATACACGAAGGCGATATACAAGTGTGCCGGATAAACCATGTTCGAACTGTGATAAACAAGATTCTAAGTTCCAAGTTCTTAAGAAGATGGGAGAATCATCATCTATATTTAACTCATACTCAAATTAATTCGAAGACGGTGAGTAGATTTATTCGATATTCGTATACAATTTTTATCTCAATTCAATTTACTTTTAATTACTGAACGACAACATTTAGAAATAGATCTTTAGTAGATTCTAAACCAAATATTAATACTACCTTACATAACCCAAATGCAATAAGAATTGCCCCTCCCAAAAAATGTGCATTTATTTTAAAGTGAAAATGTTTATTTTATTTCCGATATTTCACAAGATAGAGCTAATTTTTTAATTTTCAGGGTGATGGAAGTGGAATTAGCATTAAGTTTTTATTAGAAAAATTTTTAATTTTCAAAAATTTCTATTTCAATTTTTGCATATTGATGCAATGACTTGCTGGCTTGTTTGTAGATCGAAATCTGCTAAGCTTTGTCTGTTAGGGCAGTATTTTTTTTTCTAGCACTAAAATTTTTTATAAAAGTGGTAAACTGTATAAAAAAAATACTGGATTTCTTACAAATTCAGTTTATAATATTTTTACAAAAATAAATTAAGCGAACAACTTCTGTTTAAATTATAGATCAATATGAAACCATGTGGTGTCATGCTGTTGTAAAACTGAAGTGGATTGTAAGGTTATGAATTCATCTTTTCTTCACATTTTATAATAATTTCATAATCCTATAATAATTTCATGATCCTCATACCTATGAAAATATTTCTTATACTTGGCATTGTTTAAATTAAAGTGTTTACTCTTTGTGATTAAATTTTTTTTCTCCATAAATTTTATCAAATTTCTGTTATTTACTAAGGAGCAAAAGTGTATGAAATTTTTATTTTCATAACAGATTTTTTTTATGCACATGAATTTCTCAATAAAATAGTTTCTGAGGCTAAGCATGATTAGAATTATGTTAAAATACTTCAAAGCACTTTTTAAAACTTTTACCACAGATTTTTATTAGAATACAGTTGCTGATATAAATTGTAATCAACTTATTTTAATGAGTAGTTTTGTACTTGTCCTTAAAGTGATTTGATCTGGCTTTTTCTGAAGAATACCTCAAATGGAAAAAGTGTTTCAAAAAAATATGTATATTATAATTGAAAATGATTAATATATTTTCGTATAATGTTCTGATATTCAAGGTGAGGGTAGAATTAACATCAATTTGTCATTTGTAGAACAAAATAAATTTTTGTATATTTTGCGCAAAGAATTTTTTCTTCCTAAATGCTAAAATTTTGATATATTTATTAAACTACCAAAAATAATCATTAAAAAAACAACAATAACTGCCGAGGAATTCGGCGCATTTAAATAAAAATTTCTGAGTTTTATTACCTCATTTACATGTACAATTAAACTTATGCTTTGCTCTTTTCACATTAAATAGAAATTATTTGAATTTGGAACAAAATTTCTTGTTATTATCGGAAAGTTTAAACCAATAATTTTTTAAAAAAGCTTGAAAACAAAATATTACAAAAGGTAAATAATCGAATATAAAAGTTTAAAAGTCAAATTTTAAATTAAATATTTTAATATTTAACTTGTGACTGTGCTTCTTGTATGATCTCTTCTAAATCCATTCTTAATATAAATCACATTAAAATAATTCTTAATTATAAATCACATTAAAACGAATTCTATTTTCTGTTAAAAGTCCAATGAAACTCATTAAGCATAATTGGTATATTATAAAAATTATTATGATTTTATATTATACCATTTTAGTCAAAAATAACGATAAATGTTTTTTAATTACTTTTAATTGCATTTAATTTTACTCTTATTTAAGCAAAATTAATGTAATTCTAGTGAGAAAAAAAAATCAGAGATTTATGTCTTAGCGTTTGCAAACTAGATTATTTAAATCATACCTATTAATCTCAGTTACGCTATCAGTGACATGGAAATACTTTTAAACGAAAAAACAAATCCCGAAAATACGTAATAATACCTGTCACCTGACTATTGCGTTTTTCATCATTTTTACATTTCAGAATTCAACTTTGATGACGTAAGGTTAAAAGTTTGTGATGACTTTCACTTTAGTTGTTGTTTCCAGTTTTCTACCTTATTCTTCACTGCACGAGTTTTTAAGCTTTCTATGCTGAATGTAGTAACTATTTTTCAGTATGACGTATTTTTGGGTTTTGACTCGCATATAGATTCATAGAATCTCTTATGAATTTTGATTATAATCATATGGTACCAATTATCTTTTCTGTATTTTATTTTTTTTCCTTCATACTTCATCTTATTGAAATCTGAGAAATTAGTGTGTATATTAAAATATAAATAAGTTAAACATTTATTAAGTTCATAAGTGAAAAAGTAAAGGAAGATGGAATTTTAGTATTCGCGGAATTATAAATTCATCTTCTAGCGGAATTATAAATTCATCATCTTCTCGCGGAATTATAAATTCATCTATAGAAATAATTCACGGGTTAGAATATCCCGCGAAATCGATTCTATAATCAATATTAAATCTTTTAAAAGCGTTTGTTTAGGTATGAAATCTGTTTCAGAAATATGGATTTTGAAAGATTTTACGAAAAATGGCACATTTATAAATAATTTCTATTCGGTGTTACGTATTTATTATTGCTAATGGTTACTTTCATATTTCTCGGGATCATTTGAGGTTACGTAGGCCACTTTTCAATAGAGATTTGCCAATTTAAGAGCATTTACTTTAAGGATTGGTTTTTGGTTTTTGTAACTGGTATAGAACAGCTGACCTAATTCTTAATTTACGACTATCAATGTTAAACTCCTTGGCCTTGTAATTTTGAACCCAACCCAAAAGACAAGGGAACTCCATCAGCAAGCATTGGGATAAACTAACCTTCACCGAGGACTTTTTAATAGAACTTGCTTTTGCGTTACACGGAGAAGAAAACCACATAAACCACCCATGGTTAGCTCGACGGTAAGGAGATTCCAACTCGTGTTCCGTCTACCACTGAGGATATCGTTACATCAGCCCGAACCTAGAGCAGAATTCGCATCAACCAGCCATCTCATTGGGAGGCGAACGCATGTCCACTGAACCATTGCGTTTTTGATCAATTTTTGTAGGACTTGGGAGTGCGCTTTTACTCATACAATCATAATTTTTACCTTTTTGTAATAAGCAACGTAATATTGCGGTTTCAGATATATTCCGCTTTGTCTTTTTCCTTGACGAGTACGATGTTCCAAAAATTAAATTTTTTTTAATGCTTAACCGTTTACGAAGGGGCGTAGAAACATCACTACCATTTATGCAAGCCAGTGATGCTTAATTGATTGGGTACGTGCAAGCGACGTCACGTGTGGGTATCGAACCTGATTGGCTGCAGGATCGTGGTATTTGATGCCACGATTTAAAAGTCAATCAGGTTCGACATCCACGCGTGACGTCACGTGAAGGGTACCCAATTAAATCTGATCCGAAAATTGATTCAGGGTGATAATAAATCAAGCCTAATAGTTACCTACCGTTAACACTCCGTTTTATTTACACACTATCGGCTAATTTCAGCGGTCTTCTTCTACTCAGGCACCCAATTGTGGTAATTGGTAATAGTACCTAATATATACTAATATAGGTAGTTCCGTAGGTAATAGATTTATTTACAATTCCAGAAAAGGATGAGTGCCTAATTTTTAAGATCATTTAAAGGCTTATTATAAATCGCAACTTTTTAATTTCCCTACAAAAAATTTAAAATAAGAAAAATGATTTATGAATATAAATGATATTAATATAAATAGGTGCCCCAGAGCTGCGATGGCTCAGGGGATAGAGCATTCGCCTTCCAATGAGGTGAACCAGGGTTCGATCCCGGTGATAACTGGTCGATACGAATTCCGCATCCGGCTTGAACCCGACCACAGTGCTGACGTAAAATATCCTCAGTGGTAGACGGATCATGGGTTAGAGTCCCCTTGCCATCAGGCTAACCATGGGAGGTTCTCGTGGTCTTCCTCTCCATGTAACGCAAATGCGGGTTAGTTCCATCAAAAAGTCCTACACGAAGGCAAATTTCTCCCAATAGTCAATCCAGGAGTTCCCTTGTCTTCTGGATTGGGTTCAAAATTACAAGGCTACGGAGTTGAATATTAGTAGTCATAAGCCCCCAAAAAAATTGGGTCGGCTGCTCAACGATGGTTATGAGAAAAAGAAAAGAAAAAATAGTTGCCCCATGCAGACTGTTAGGCCCATGTGAATGTGTGTTAGGCCCATGTGTGCTGCATCAATCTATATCCACTGTTTTTAATTTCAGTTTTAAAATGCCCTTTTTGCTACGTATTTTTAATGAAAGTTTTTAGAAAAGTTTCATAAAATGAGATTGGTTCAATACAGATAGTTTTTTTTAAGAAAAATATTTACAAAATTTAAGTTGGTTAAAACGCTCTTAACTTTTCAAAAACTATAACAGCGATAAAAATCGTTTTTAGATGTTTTTTAGGCAGCTGCTGGGAGCATCATAAACCGTAAACAATGACATTGCCTTATTCTTTTTGTCAAATATCATGGATGTAACCTTACCGGTGATTTTGATTGTTCATCGTTATCACGTAAACTGTTACAACCGAGGACCCAGATCGGCCTTTGGGGTTGGGGTGTGGGAAGTACGGCTCATTTCCTCACCAAATTACCCTCTGTAGAGATAAAAGATATGAGGATTATTATTGAAGAAGAATAACTTCATGTACTTTATGAGTATCTTGACATTTTAATGAGTTCTGAATCTTCACTTTTTCGATGATGTCAACTGTTTTTTTTTCTTTCAAAAAATAAATTATAAAATTATTTGGTTATTATAAAGGATTGCTTGTTTGATATAAAGGTTATTATAAGGGATTGCTCTTATGAGTGTTTTTATATATATATTTGATTGAGTCCAAATTTTTTAAAAATATTATTCATATTTTTTTCTGCTTCCTTAAAAATCATGCACATTATAACATAAATTACAGTAACCAGGCAAATATGAGCCCTAGACAAATATGACAAATCAAGACTACTAGAGTTTCGTTGCCCGTCCTTAAAAT